AATGTGAGGAATCCTTTAACTTTGGACTGAACCAAAACTGGGTCCAAAGAATCTACTCAGAAATAATATCAAAATCGAGTGCAATTAAATTAATACTAAATGTATAATGTCCATACCAAATATCCACACATTTCAAAGAGGACGAATACGTTTATACTCCTTGGATTTGCTGTTTTTTTTCCTTACGGCTCCGACCAACATGACTTTTGGTTTTGTAAAAATGAAAGTTGGACATTTCTAGTATGTCTCCTTTAATCATTTAAATATTGATTCTTTTAAGCCTGAAGTTCCAGAGGGGAAACTTCCACAGACAGATGATTGGGAGGAGGCGGTGGTCCCAACACAACAGACCAGTCCAGACCGAGACCCAGACCCAGGGCTGGACCAGGGACCACAGGAGGTACTGATGCAGGAGGGTCCAAGGACTGTCGGGATTTAGAGCTTTTTATAAAAACATGTGATTGAACTGAGTGACTGAAACTGAGTTCAGAAGTAGACTGAGAGAAGGAGGAGTGTTCTCGACCCCAGACCACGTCCCACCTGAAAAAACATCAGAGGTGTCGATGGTTCCAGAAAGGGTTCCGGTACTGTCACACTGGTCCTTCTGGTCTCTCTCTCTCTCTGGTCTCTCTTTCAGGTCTCTCTCTCTGTGGCCTCTCTCTCTCTCTGGTCTCTCTTTCAGGTCTCTCTCTCTCTCTCTGGTCTCTGTGGGTTCTCTTTCTCTCTGGCCTCTCTCTCTCTCTGGTCTCTCTTTCAGGTCTCTCTCTGGTCTCTCTTTCAGGTCCCTCTCCCTGTGGCCTCTCTCTCTGTGGCTTCTCTCTCTCTCTCTCTCTCTCTGGCTTCTCTCTCTCTGGTCTCTCTTTCAGCTCTCTCTCTCTGTGCCTTCTCTCTCTCTCTGGTCTCTCTTTCAGGTCTCTCTCTCTGTGCCTTCTTTCTCTCTCTGGTCTCTCTTTCAGGTGTCTCTCTCTCTCTCTCTCTGTGCCTTCTTTCTCTCTCTGGTCTCTCTTTCAGGTCTCTCTCTCTCTCTCTCTCTCTCCCTGTGGCTTCTCTCTCCTTACCTGGAGTCTGAGGAGATGGGTGGAGTGTGGTGTGCCCTTTGAGGACCGGTTCGATGCCTCTGTTTTAGATCAATATTGTGTTACTACTCTGTAATAACAAACATGTGATTTGATTGACAGACGTCCACACATGAAGCCCCGCCCACTTCGGACCTGACAGCTGAACCAATCAATGAACCGCAAGCAGAGCCTGAAGCTCCGCCCACTGCAGGTGAACCAGGTCTAAACTATTACACTATAAATGTCATACTTTTTATTTTTGGATTGTCACACACTGAGAGAGAGACACTGAGAGAGAGACAGAGAGAGAGAGAGAGACCCAGAGAGAGAGAGAGCGAGAGAGAGAGAGAGAGAGAGAGAGAGACCCAGAGAGCGAGAGAGACCCAGAGAGCGAGACCCAGAGAGTGAGACCCAGAGAGCGAGACCCAGAGAGAGAGACCCAGAGAGAGAGAGACCCAGAGGAGAGAGAGAGAGAGAGAGAGACCCAGAGAGAGAGAGAGAGACCCAGAGAGAGAGAGAGAGAGAGAGACCCAGAGAGAGAGAGACCCAGAGCGAGAGAGACCCAGAGAGAGAGAGACCCAGAGAGAGAGAGACCCAGAGAGAGAGAGAGAGAGAGACCCAGAGAGGGAGAGACCAGAGAGCGGAGAGACGCAGAGAGGAGACGCAGAGGCGCTGCGAGAGAGAGCAGAGAGACACAGAGAGCGAGACAGAGCCCGAGAGCGAGACAGAGAGCGAGATGGAGAGAGCGAGAGGGAGAGAGCGAGATGGAGAGACCGAGAGGAGAGAGCGAGACGGAGAGAGCGAGAGAGAGAGCGAGACGAGAGCGAGACCCAGAGAGAGCGAGAGAGACAGAGAGAGAGCGAGACCCAGAGAGAGCGAGACAGAGCGAGACAGAGCGAGACGAGAGAGAGCGAGACGGAGAGAGCGAGACGGAGAGACGCGAGACGGAGAGAGCGAGACGGAGAGAGAGAGAGAGAGAGAGACGAGAGATGAGCGAGACGGAGAGAGAGAGACGGAGAGAGCGAGACGGAGATGAGCGAGACGAGAGAGAGAGCGAGACGGAGAGAGATGAGCGAGAGAGCGAGACGGAGATGAGCGAGACGAGGAGAGAGCGAGACGGAGAGAGCGAGACGAGAGATGAGCGAGACGAGAGAGATGAGCGAGACGAGGGAGAGAGCGAGACGGAGAGAGCGAGAGCGAGAGAGCGAGACGAGAGAGCGCGAGACGGATGAGCGAGACGGAGATGAGCGAGACGAGAGCGAGCGAGAGAGATGAGCGAGACGGGGAGAGCGAGACGAGAGATGAGCGAGACGAGAGAGCGAGCGGAGACGAGAGAGATGAGCGAGACGAGAGAGATGAGCGAGACGAGAGAGATGAGCGAGACGGAGAGGATGAGCGAGACGAGACGGAGAGAGCGAGACGCGAGAGAGATGAGCGAGACGAGAGAGAGTGAGCGAGACGAGAGGGATGAGCGAGACGACAGAGATGAGCGAGACGAGAGAGATGAGCGAGACGAGAGGGGATGAGCGCAATGAGCCGAGGAGAGCGAGACGAGAGAGACCGAGAGAGATGAGATGAGCGAGACCGAGAGAGATGAGCGAGACGAGAGAGGATGAGCGGACCCGAGAGAGATGAGCGCGAAACGAGAGAGATGAGCGAGACGAGGGAGAGATGAGCGAGACTGAGAGGGATGAGCGAGACGAGAGAGATGAGCGAGACGAGAGAGATGAGCGAGACCGAGAGAGATGAGCGAACCCGAGAGAGATGAGCGAAACGAGAGAGATGAGCGAGCCGAGAGAGATGAGCAAGACGAGAGACGATGAGCGAGACGAGAGGGATGAGCGAGACGAGAGAGATGAGCGAGACGAGAGAGATGAGCGAGACGAGAGAGATGAGCCGAGACGAGAGAGATGAGCGAGACGAGAGAGATGAGCGAGACGAGAGAGATGAGCGAGACGAGAGGGATGAGCGAGACGAGAGGGATGAGCGAAGATGAGGGAGAGATGAGCAGATGAGCGATGAGCGAGACGAGAGAGACGAGAGAGATGAGCGAGACGAGAGGGAATGAGCGAGACGAGAGCGATGAGCGAGACGAGAGAGATGAGCGAGACGAGAGAGATGAGCGAAACGAGAGAGATGAGCGACACGAGAGCGATGAGCGAGACGAGGAGAGATGAGCGAGACGAGAGAGATGAGCGAGACGAGAGAGATGAGCGAGATGAGGGAGACGAGAGATGAGCGAGACGGAGAGAGATGAGCGAGACAAGAGGGATGAGCGAGATGAGAGAGATGAGCGAGACGAGAGGGATGAGCGAGATGAGAGAGATGAGCGAGACGAGAGGGATGAGCAAGACGAGAGAGATGAGCGAAATGAGGGAGACGAGAGATGAGCGAGACGAGAGAGATGAGCGAGACGAGAGGGATGAGCGAGACGAGAGAGATGAGCGAGACGAGAGAGATGAGCGAGACGAGAGAGATGAGCGAGACGAGAGAGATGAGATGAGGGAGATGAGCAAAATGAGGGAGACGAGAGATGAGCGAGACGAGAGAGATGAGCGAAATGAGGGAGACGAGAGATGAGCGAGACGAGAGAGATGAGCGAGACTAGAGGGATGAGCGAGATGAGAGAGATGAGCGAGACGAGAGAGATGAGCGAGACGAGAGAGATGAGCGAGACGTGAGAGATTAGCGAAACGAGAGAGTTGAGCGAGACGAGAGAGATGAGCGAGACGAGAGAGATGAGCGAGACGAGAGAGATGAGCGAGACGAGAGAGATGAGCGAAATGAGGGAGACGAGAGATGAGCGAGACGAGAGAGATGAGCGAGACGAGAGGGATGAGCGAGATGAGAGAGATGAGCGAGACGAGAGAGATGAGCGAAATGAGGGAGACGAGAGATGAGCGAGACGAGAGAGATGAGCGAAATGAGGGAGACGAGAGATGAGCGAGACGAGAGAGATGAGCGAGACGAGAGAGATGAGCGAGACGAGAGGGATGAGCAAGACGAGAGAGATGAGCGAGACGAGAGGGATGAGCAAGACGAGAGAGATGAGCGAGACGAGAGAGATGAGCGAGACGAGAGAGATGAGCGAGACGAGAGAGATGAGCGAGACGAGAGAGATGAGCGAGACGAGAGAGATGAGCGAGACGAGAGAGATGAGCGAGACGAGAGAGATGAGCGAGACGAGAGAGATGAGCGAGACGAGAGAGATGAGCGAGACGAGAGAGATGAGCGAAATGAGGGAGACGAGAGATGAGCGAGACGAGAGAGTATGAGCGAGACGAGAGAGATGAGCGAGACGAGAGGGATGAGCGAGACGAGAGAGATGAGCGAGACGAGAGAGATGAGCGAGACGAGAGAGATGAGCGAGACGAGAGAGATGAGCGAGACGAGAGAGATGAGCGAGACGAGAGATGAGCGAAACGAGAGAGATGAGCGAGACGAGAGAGATGAGCGAGACGAGAGAGATGAGCGAGACTAGAGAGATTAGAGAGATGAACGCGACGAGAAAGATGAGCGAGATGAGCGAAACGAGAGAGATGAGCGAGGACGAGAGAGATGAGCGAGACGAGAGAGATGAGCGAGACGAGAGAGATGAGCGAGACGAGAAAGATGAGCGAGACGAGAGAGATGAGCGAGACGAGAGAGATGAGCGAGACGCGAGAGATGAGCGAAATGAGGGAGACGAGAGATGAGCGAGACGAGAGAGATGAGCGAGACGAGAGAGATGAGCGAGACGAGAGGGGATGAGCGAGACCGAGAGAGATGAGCGCGACGAGAGAGATGAGCGAGACGAGAGAGATGAGCGAGACGAGAGAGAGATGAGCGAGACGAGAGAGATGAGCGAGACGAGAGATGAGCGAAACGAGAGAGATGAGCGAGACGAGAGAGATGAGCGAGACGAGAGAGATGAGCGAGACTAGAGAGATTAGAGAGATGAACGGGACGAGAGAGATGAGCGAGATGAGCGAAACGAGAGAGATGAGCGAGACGAGAGAGATGAGCGAGACGAGAGAGATGAGCGAGACGAGAGAGATGAGCGAGATGAGCGAGACGAGAGAGACTAGAGAGATGAGAGAGATGAACGCGACGAGAGAGATGAGCGAGACAAGAGAGATGAGCGAGACGAGAGAGAGGGGCGAGACGAGAGAGATGAGCGAGACGAGAGAGATGAGCGAGACGAGAGGGATGAGCAAGACGAGAGAGATGAGCGAGACGAGAGGGATGAGCGAGACGAGAGAGATGAGCGAGACGAGAGAGATGAGCGAGACGAGAGAGATGAGCGAGACGAGAGAGATGAGCGAGACGAGAGAGATGAGCGAGACGAGAGAGATGAGCGAGACGAGAGAGATGAGCGAGACGAGAGAGATGAGCGAGACTAGAGAGATGAGCGAGATGAGCGAAACGAGAGAGATGAGCGAGATGAGCGAAACGAGAGAGATGAGCGAGACAAGAGAGATGAGCGAGACGAGAGAGATGAGCGAGACGAGAGAGATGAGCGAGATGAGCGAAACGAGAGAGATGAGCGAGACGAGAGAGATGAGCGAGACTAGAGAGATGAGAGAGATGAACGCGACGAGAGAGATGAGAGAGATGAGCGAGACGAGAGAGATGAGCGAGACGAGAGAGATGAGCAAAACGAGAGAGATGAGCGAGACGAGAGAGATGAGCGAGATGAGCAAAACGAGAGAGATGAGCGAGACGAGAGAGATGAGCGAGACGAGAGAGATGAGCGAAACGAGAGAGATGAGCGAGACGAGAGAGGCGCAAGACAAGAGAGACGAGAGAGATGAGCGAGATGAGCGAGACGAGAGAGATGAGCGAAACGAGAGAGATGAGAGAGACGAGAGAGATGAGCGAGATGAGCGAGACTAGAGAGATTAGAGAGATGAACGCGACGAGAGAGATGAGCGAGACAAGAGAGATGAGCGAAATGAGCGAAACGAGAGAGATGAGCGAGACGAGAGAGATGAGCGAGACGAGAGAGATGAGCGAGACGAGAGAGATGAGCGAAACGAGAGAGATGAGCGAGATGAGCGAGACGAGAGAGATGAGCGAGATGAGCGAGACGAGAGAGATGAGCGAGACGAGAGAGATGAGCGAAACGAGAGAGATGAGCGAGACGAGAGAGATGAGCGAGACGAGAGAGATGAGCGAGACGAGAGAGATGAGCGAGACGAGAGAGATGAGCGAAACGAGAGAGATGAGCGAGATGAGCGAGACGAGAGAGATGAGCGAGACGAGAGAGATGAGCGAGATGAACGCGACGAGAGGCCGGGGACATTATATCTCCATTATTCTGTACGTTTTACATAAAGAACAGAACGATGACAGAGGGCAGTGTGAGAGGAGCCATTACCGGTAGTTACCATAGCAACGTAATGTTTACTCGCGTGTGTGTGTGTGTGTGTGTGTGTGTGTGCGCGTGTATTTGGCTTTTGTATACTTTCCTACAAGCGCAAAAGGCTCATGGGGGATACTTGAAAATTGATAAAACATAACATAGCTAAACAGAAAACAAATAGTAGGCTTAAACAAATGAACATAAAGGTGACTTGTATCCAATTGTTTTGATAACACTTTAGTGCAAGTTGATGTGAACCATGAGTGAGGCGTGTGTCTACATACAACAGTAAAGTACTGGACTTTAGCGCCTTTGAAGGCCCTCAGCACACCCGAGCGACCTCAAACATATACACGTGTGTCAAGCATGTCTGAGGGATGAAGACAGAAACTTGCAAAAGGGGAGGACAACTTCCAGGGGCCAAAGTCAGCCCGACTTTGGATACTGCTGTTTTGATCTCTCCCTGGTCTCCTCTGGTCTCTCTCCATCTCTGGTCTTTCTCTAGTCTCCTCTGGTCTCTCTCCATCTCTGGTCTTTCTCTAGTCTCCTCTGGTCTCTCTATCTGATTTCTTACTGGTCAGATTCAGATTCAGATTCAGATTCATTTATTTGCCATTTGCAGTAAAACCACATTGGAAAACTGTGCAAGACTACCCCGGTGTGCGCCAGACAGACAAGACGACACACACCAGAGCTCTTGCCACGCCGCCATTTTTACGGCGCCATGCGACAAACAGTAGAATAACAGTTATTCAACAGCATAGAGCAAAACAGACATATATTTCAACAAACATGGGGAGAGACACGGTACATGTGGAAAAACATGCGGATCTTTTTAATGGGAAGTCATCACTCTGGCCCGCCTCGTCCAATATAGCGCGTCAGAGGGGAGTGTGGGTGGGGGAGGTGGAGGGGAAGACCACCATAGACTGAAAAAGAGAGAGAGGCAGACATGTAGGGGGGGGGGGGGGGGGGGGGACTGTAACTGGTGTTCTGAGTTGTGAGTCTGAGATAGATAAGAGTCCCAGTGTCAGCCTTGAGTGGCCGTGTGTGGTGGTGGAATGTGAAGGACAAAGACTAGCGCAGGTGCCTGCAAACATTGGAGACAA